GCTGGACATTCCGCTTGAGGGCAGCCCAGCACCGGCACCGGCCTGGCCACGGCCTCCCCCCACTGCACGGACACTCTGCCTCGAACGGGAGCAGCCCCTGGAGCTGCTGGAACACTGCTGGAGCTGCTCTATTCCAGCCTCCCTCCCCAGGCGGCTGCAAAGCTCATTCACAGAGCCTTGGTGTCACTCTGCAGASGCCCCTTGGCTTTTTCATGCTCCACATTCTGTTCTCGTGTGCTCTTTCCTCTGCAAGCCTTGGGGTTCACCTTAGAAACAATTGGGAAGTTCCTGTCTGGATGTTTCCAGACCCCCGATGCTGGCACAGGAGGGGTTGTTGCTGTTGGGGGTGTCTGCTTTGGGGGGGTGGCTGCTCTTGGGGCAGTGGTGTTGGGGCATGGTCAGTGTTTGGGGGTGTCTGCTGGTATTTGGGAGTGGTGGCTCTCAGGTCGATGGTCACTCTTTTGGAGTGGTCACTGTTTCGAGGGTCATTGCTGTTTGTGGGGTCACTGCAGTTTGGGGGTCACTCTGTTTGGGGGTCACTGCTGTTGGTGGGGTCACTGCTGTTTATTTGGGGGGCAGTTTCTGCTGTTTAGGGTGCAGTTGCTGCTGTTGGGGTGGCTCTGGCTGGTTCTCAGCACCAGCCCCACCCAACACACCCCGAGCCCCCCAGCACTGGCGGGGTCTCACAGGCACAGACAAGCCCTGGGCACCTGTGAGGGGTGCAACAGGGAACATCCGCAGGAGTGGGATCGCCTTCTCTGGTGAGAGATTTCAGAGTCAGCAGCAGTGAAAGCAGAGCCTGTGCTCTCCTTTTTTCACACCTCTGTGTCCCTCACATTGATCCAGGGCAGTGCCCACACACAGAGCTCTGGGCTTGACAGCTCACTGGGAAACCATGGGAGAGAATCAGGGAATCGTTGAGGTTGGAAAAGTCCTCYAAGACCAAGCCCAACCATTCCCCAGCACTGCSAAGGCCATCAYTCACCCATGTCCCTAAGTGCCACATCCACACAGCTGTTAAATCCTYCCAGGAAGGGGGACTCCACCACTGCCCTGGGCAGCTGTGCCAGGGCTGGACTATCTTTTCYATGAAKGAATTTTYCCCGATATCCAACCTGACCCTCCCCTGGCACKACTCGAGGCCGTTTTTCTCTTGTTCCCTGGGAGCAGAGCCCGACCCGCCGTGTTCCACCTCCCGTCCGGGGGGTGTAGGGAGCGGGCGGGTCCCCGCTGGACCCGGGACCGGGCGGGGGGGAGGGGCTGGGGGTGACCCCGGCACCGGAGTGGTTTGGGGGTGACCCCGGGGTGGTTCGGGGGTGACCCCGGGGCTCCCCTCGTCTGGCGCGGCCGTTAGGGAGGGGCGGAGCCTTCTGGAGACCCCGCCCGGCCCCGCCCAAGCCCCGCCCCCGGTGCGGGGCCAAAAGCGGCGGGACCGGGACCAGGAGCCGCTGCTGCCGCCGGGACCGGAGCGCGGGGAGCCCTGCAGGGCAGCCGGTGAGTGCCGAACCGAACCGAACCGAGCGAGCCGAGGGTGCCGCCTCCTCGGAACTCCCCCCGCAGGGCTCCTCTCCTGCATCCCCCCAACCTCGCTGCGCATCCCGCCGGCAGTGCCCGGGAGCGGGATGGAACCGGGGCTCCCGGGCTGTCCCGGCCGGGGATGGYGCCCCCCTACACCCCCTCCATGTGCCGCCAGGCTGCCCAGAGAAGCTGTGGCTGCCCCTGGATCCCTGCAAATGTTCCAGGCCAGGTTGGGCATTGGGGCTTGGAGCACCCTGGGACGGTGGAAGGTGTCCCTGCCCATGGAAGSGGGTGGAACGGGATGAGCTTTAAGGTCCTTTMCAAACTATTCTGGGATTCTATCAAGCCTGCCTAGGACCAGCCCTTACTGGGCTAGGCCCCAGCTCAGCTGCGGGATGAGCTGGAGGGAAGGCTGAGCTGTCCGTGRGAGGAGCTGGACGTGCTCAGACCAGTGCTGGCCACTGCCTCAGAGAGGGACCTGGAGCCTGGCTCTGTCCCATCCCAGCCTGGGCTGCTCCCGGGGGGCTTTTGCTGGCCCTGCCTGCCTGGTGGGTGYCCCAACCCCCTCGCCGTGTTGCCCCCAGCGATGGCTGAGGAGCTCAGTGARCTGCTGAGGGAGTTCGACGAGGTCATGGAGGACTTTGACCGGGGCCCTGCAAGTCAGTACCAGCAGCACCTGGAGGAGCTGAAGAGGAAAGCAGGACAGAGCGTGTATGACAGYGGCATCGATGAGCTGGAGAGTGAGTCTGGGGCTGGGGCATGATATCCATGGGCTGGAAAGGGAGTCTGGGGCTGGGGAATGAGGAGTCCTGGGTGAGGATGATGTCAGTCGGGGTGGGAGCTCTGTGGCTCCTCCATGGGAAGCYTCCTCCTGCTGATGCTCTCTGACTCGTCCCTGGTGGGCTGGATGAGCCACACGGGGTGATGACCACTGGACACTGGCCCAGGACCTGCCAACATCTGCCGGGGCTCCTTGGGCCAGGCTGGCTGCTGCAGGACTGTGGGAGGTTTTGGGATGACCAGCAGCTCAGAAGGACCCTGTAATAACCCCGTCCTTGTAATAACCCTGCCCAGACAACCTCTGCTGCTCTCTGGCCTGGCAAAGAAACTCAGTTCCATTTTTCCAAGTGTTCCTGGTGGCGGGGGAGGAGCAATGGGCCCTCCAAGAGCATGTSCCCCTGTGCCATGGGCCCTGCTCCTGCCAAGTGTTGGGCAGATGTCTGTGCCCAGGGCCAGGGGCTGAGCTCTGTGTCCACAGGTGCCAGCACATCCCCAGGGAGCAGCCTCAACTCCAGCGAGGAGCACCTCAACACCCCAGCTGACCCTTACGCCCCAAAAGGTGAGCCTGGCCCCCTCCAAGGGGTGTGCAGCACTGCCTTCTGCAAGCTCTGCTTGGCTTGGCAGTGACAGGCAGCCCCAGATAGGACRGTGCCCCTGGGGCTCTGCAGGGTGGGAAGGAGCCCTGGTGTGTCCTGGCAGGAGCCTGGAGGAGGCACAAGTTGGATTTGGATGTTCCCAGTTGAGGCTGGACTGGCTGGGACATAAACAGCTGGGGTAGCTGTGTTAGGAGTAAGGGGCTGGGGTCTTTCCTCTTCCCAGTGAGAGGAACTGAGGGAGAACCTGACCATGTTTTTCCCCRGCAGCTAAGCTTGGTGACACACAGGAGCTGGAGGAGTTCATCGCAGACCTGGATAAAGCCTTGCAGGGTATGTGCCCAGCTGTGGTCCCTGCCCTTCCCACAGGATGGGACACCTGGCCTGGGGCCCCTCCACTGGCCCTGCCTTGGTGAAGCCTGGCCAGCACCTCCTCTGCCTGGGGTCCGGCTGCAGGGGGCTTGGACCCTGCTTTGGCCACAGTGGTGGAACCCTTCCATCTTTTCTTTTGGTGAGGGGCTCATGGATGCCACCTCCYCATTCAAACTCTTTCAGTTTGGGAGGAAATTCCACAGCTTAAGTGTCCTCCCCTCTGCTGCCTCAGTTTCCCCCAGAGGAGGTGAAGAGCTGGCACCTGGGGGAGGGGACTGGGGACACAAAGGCCATGTTGGTCCTGGCAATGAAGCCCAGCAGCAGAGCCTGCAGAGCTATTGATGTTTTTGGGGAAATGCACAGGGACCTGCAGCCCTCTGCCTGCAGCCTCCCTCCAGCAGCTCAGAGGCTGTTCTTTGGTTGGGGGCGGAAGGTGAGCAGGAGGGAAAGAGGATCTTCCCTTGTGGTACATCCTAATGCCATGGAAACAGCCCCTGTGGAGGGAGGAGTGTGGCTCTGTGGTGGCAAGGAGGGCAATCTGCTCTCCTCCTGCTGATGTTTCCTCCTGGTGAGAGCCTGGGGATGTCCCTGGGGAAGGGGGGATGCTGTGCTGGGCATCTCTGGCATGTGTAYGCAGCAGCTCTACAGAGTTTGGCTGCTCCCCAATGGCTGCCTTGCTGGGGAAACTGAGGCAGAGGACACTTCCTCTCACAGGATCCCTGCGTGACAGGCTAGAGGCTGAGAGAACATGATTAACAAAATCTTTCTCCCCATGCAGACTATGTGAGGCACAGTTCTGGTATCTGTTCCCATCCCTGGTGTCCAGAATGAGGTGGCCAGTGGGAAGTGTTCCCCTGCAGGCCCCAGCCATGCTGGGATGGAGGGAGGGGAATTCCCCTACCCCAGATCTCTGACTCTACAGACTCTCACCCCCATCCATGTCCCCCTGCAGAGATGTGAGCTGTGGTTTGGACTCTGCAGAGGAGCAGCTCCAGCCCAGAGCCTCCGTGATGCTGCCATTGCTTCTGCGCCCCTGGCAGGGGTGGGGACAGCTCCCTGGACAAGGATGGGCAGTGGGGCTGGATCCGGCCGTGGGACAGYGGTGGCAGTGCCCTGCCAGTGCCAAGAGAGGACAGCCCTGGGTGGACACCAGGCCCTGCCCTGCACAGGGCCTGGTGGCTCCTGGGACCACGGGGTCTGGGGCGTCTGGGCTGCTGCTGAAGCCCCCTGAGTGATTTTGGGAAAGATCAGCTTGCAGGACATCAGCGTGGCCTTGGTGTCCCCTCCAGGCTGGAAGCCCTGTTCCTTGGTGGTATCTGCCACCATTGACCCTTTGCACAGGGAGCTCCAAATCGGGCCCCACCCTGCCCCATAAGTGCCTCTGCCCCAGCTACTGCTGTAAATACTGTAAAGAAGATGTTTTGTGCTGTACAGAGGGGAYGGGTTTCTGTGAACAGGATTTTAAACCTCTGCTCGTCTGTGTCCATCTTTTTCCATTGGTAGGGGTGGGAGCAGGGGTGCCTGGGGCTGCCAGCTGGTGGGACTGGCACTGGAAAAGGGGGAGAGCTCTGGGAAGCAAGGYCAGCAGAATGTGCCTGTCTGAAGGGGAGAATGGGACTGGGAATCCCTGGTCCTCCATTTCTCTTGGTCAGTGTGGGGTGGAGGAGGGGGTCATGTCCAGCTCTTTCTCCCTTTGCTCAGGGAGGTGGGGCACTACCTGATCCTCCTGCTGGGATGGATGGCACTGCTCCAGGGTCCTGCTCCCAAATGGAGGTGCCCCGGTGCCACTTCCTYGGGATATTGCCCCTGGCTGCAGCCCCAGGAACGAGTCCCCCAGGATGTGGGTTTGCTGCCCTGTAGCGACCTGAGCTTGGAGTGAGGTTTGGCCGCTGAGTGGGATGATGGGTCCCCCCGAGATTCCCCTCCTGGATTTTCCCCGCTGGAGTTTCCCATCTCCAGGAGCTGCCACCATGGGCACTGAGATAGCAGAAGAGGAACATGTGGCTCTGCTCGTCCCCCTCTTTCCCTATGATCTCTGTGTGGAGCAGGGTCACGTGTGCCTCTGCTGCAATTTGTCTGAGCAGGAAATGGGCAGTTTCGGTTTMTTCCCTCATCCCTGGTCCATGGGTGCTGAGCAGGAGGGATGTGGGACACCCCCTCTRTCCTCCCCAGGACTCTGAGCATGCACAGATCCAAACCTGACAGTGCTGATCCAGCAGGAGGGTGGCAGCCCCAGAGCCCTGGGCAGGGCAGGTGAAGGGACACTTTGCTGCTGTTCCCACACTGTGTGATGTGACTGCTGATGGCCCAAACAGACCCTGAGGGGCAGCCAGGAGATGGAGTGAGAGAGTGTTCCAAGGGGGGATGTCAGAGATGTGTCTGCAGCACTCAAGAGATCCGCCCGTGATGCCCACGGGGACACACAGCTCCCATCACTGGGGCCTGGGTGGCATGGGGGCTGTCCCCACCATGCTGATGGCAGCACCCCCGTGTCACTGAGGGCATTTTTCCCCTCTGAGTCACTGGACTCAGCATTTTGCCCTCACTGTCGTGCTCTGACTCTGCTGTTTGTTCCACCCACGGTCCCATTCTGTCCCCAGTCCTCACCAGCTCCTCCTCAGCCTGTGTGGGAAGGGGCTTTAAACCTGCCACACCCAGCACAGTCCCAATGGGTCACAGCACTGCTCGGGCTGCCACTGTCCCCAGCTCCCATTCGCCCCTTTCCACCCCTATAGCAGTTGACAAATGTTGCCAAGCTACAGAAATAAATATTTTCCAGCCCCAAACCTGCTGAGGCCCACAGTCCCTGCAGCCACAGCACAACTCTGATGAAGCTCTGAGGTTTGTTTGTTATGGGGGTTGCCAGGAGCAGGTTGGGATGTCRCCCTGGGCTCCTCCAGCCYCTTGGGATYGSGGTGGGTGGGCTGCTGCCCATGTCCCATGTGTGCAGGAGCCTTGCTGGGGCTCAGGGCACCTCCTGCCACAGGGACACAGCTCTCAGCATCTGGGGAGGCAGGATGTGCCAYTGGGCACCCCACAGTGCCAACTCTGTGTGTGGGATGACACGAGACCTAATGCCAGCCCTGTCCTGCCCAGCCCACCAGCAGCAGCTCAACCTAAGCTGCCCTGCTGGGCTTCCCAGGGTGGTGGTGGGATCCCCATCCTTGGAAATGTTCAAAACAGCATGTTAATGGGACACTTGGGGACGTGGTTTAGGGGAGGCTCTGGCAGTGCTGGGGGATGGCTGGACTCAATGTTCYTGGAGGGCTTTTCCCACTGAAATGATGCTAAGGTTCTGTTGCCTCTGCACACCRCTGAAACAGCTCCCTTTGGGCACATGGACTTCTCTGAGAGGATAAAGGGTGGATTTTTTTTTTCATGGGAACCCCAGGAAAAGCTTGGGGACACAGCAAGGTGGTGGGTGGCACCAAGATGGAGGTTGGTGACATCTACTGACCCACAGAGGGACAGTTGTCCAAGGGCTGTTGTGCAGCCCAGGAGGACCCCTGACCCCTCTCACACTCCCCAGGGGGCTGAGGCTGAGTAGGGTGGTGGGCTGGGGATAGAGGGTCTGGTGTGTGGTAGGGTCTGTGTGTCACAGAGTCCATGGGTTGCAGAGTCCGTGGGTCAGAGGGTGTGTGGGCTGCAGGGTCAGCGGGTTGCAGGGTCTGTGTGTCACAGGGTCCACGAGTTGCAGGATCTGTGGGTTGCAGGGTCTGTGTGTCACAGAGTCCACGAGTTGCAGGGTCTGTGGGCTGCAGGGTCTGTGTGTCACAGGGTCCATGGCCTGCAGAGTCCGTGGCCCTGCACGTGCCCTGGAGGTGCTGCAGAATCCATCAGTGTGCACAYGCACGTCCTGCAATACAGGCAGTTCCTCCCCAGGGCCCTGCTCCCCACAGCAGCTCGGCGGGGGCTGGAGCAGGGCCAGGGAGCACTGGGAGCAGCTGGGATGGTCTTGACGTGGTGTGGGGCTCTGCAGAAAGCCCTGAGAGGGGTTTGGACCTGCCTGCTGGCACCCACCCTCTGGGCACACTGGCACATGAAGGTGCAGGGGCTGCCCAGGGGGTGTTGGACCCCCTAACATCACCTGGGGGCTACTGGTCCAGCCTCTCGGGGGGCAGGCAGCCTCCCATTCCCACGTGGAAAAGCACCCCAGCCCAGGCCTGGGCAGGCTGCAGTGGGACTGTGGTGCTGCACAKGGCCACCAGCAAGGCTGTCACTGCTCCCTGTCACGGTCCCCAACAGCCCCTGAGCATTTTCTCAGAAGCGACGGTGCAGGAAGCGGGTACCAGAGTCAGGCAGCTCATGAGGCCGCAGCTGCGCCCACAGACACGGCATTTCCGGAGCCCAGGGCCGCTTGCCAGCCGAGAGGCGCTGGGTCCCACACGCTTGCTGCCCCGGTGAGCCCCTTTCCCAGGCTGTGGGAGCAGATCTCCTGGCTTCCCTGGGACCTGGCTGGAGTGCTGGGACACGGAGGTGACAGTGTTAGTGGAGGTGGCCCTGCTGGCAGTCAGTCACCTCTGCCATACTGCATGGCAAGCACCACCCTGGGGCAGGTGTCCCTGTGTGTCCCTGCTCTCCCCTCCCTGGTATCCCCGGGAAGAAGGGACRGATGGAGGCATCCCTGGAGGCAATCCCGCCCTGCAGGTGCCAGGGCTGCTGTCAGTGCCTGGGGCTGCTGGAGCTGGAGCAGCTCTTCAGCCTGCCCAGGTGGGATGGTGCTCAGTGAAGCTGCTCYCACCTGGAGGGATCTCCCCAGACACTGAGGGGGCAGAAAGAGTCACCAAGCCTCACCTAAAAGATGTCTTTGTCATTTAGAGACATTTAGAGAGGAACCCCAGCCCTCTGGGGAAGGGAAGTCCCCAGCTGCCCAGATAGTCKGGCTGTGATGATGGAGGAAGCTGTAACTATTTTGGGATACAGTCTAACCCCAGGGATGCCACCAGCTTTCAGTCCTATGAAGCCTCCACACATTTTTATGGAATCATAGAWWGGTTTGGGTGGRAAAGGACATTAAAGCCCATCTCAATCCATCCCCTGCCACAGACAGGGACACCTCCCACTGTCCCAGGCTGCTCCCAGCCCCARTGTCCAGYCTGGCCTTGGACACTGCCAGGGATCCAGGGGCAGCCWCAGCTTCTCTGGGCACCCTGTGCCAGGGCCTSCCCAYCCTCYCAGGGAACAATTCCTTCCCAAGATCCCATCTATCCCTGCCCTCTGGCACTGGGAAGCCATTTCCTGTGTCCTGTCCCTCCATCCCTTGTTCCCAGTCCCTCTCCAGCTCTTCTGGAGCCCCTTTAGGCACTGGAAGGGGCTGTGAGGTTTCCCTGGTTCCTTCTCTTCTCCAGGTGAGCASCCCCAGCTCTCCCAGCCTGGCTCCAGAGCAGAGGGGCTTCAATCCTCAGAGCATGGTGGGATCTTTCCACATTTACAGGAAAGAGAGGAGTTTGGCCAGAAATTTAGAGTTTTCAGGGGGTTGTGAAGATCCTCCGCAGTGCTGGGACTGTGCTGACCCTGGGAAGAGGCCCCGGAGAGCCTCTATGTGCCCTCCAGCTGCCCAGGGAAGAGAAAAGCTCCCCTCTGCCAGGGACACCAGCACCCATGGATGGAAGGAGACAGGCTCTCTGCAGTCCTTGGGGAGATTCAGAGCCCTGGGGCCAGGGATTGGTTTGGTGTTTCTTTCTGTGGCCGCTGTTCCCTGCTCCCCCTCTGACTTCATCCTGTGTATCTGAAGAGACAATGCCGGCGGTGGTGGCCAGCACAGCATCCTGTCCCCTCGTGGTCGTTCCCCGCCCCCCGGTCCCTGGTCACTTCCCGGGATTGTTCTGCTCCCCTCAGCGAGGGCTGCCTGTGTCCCCCAGGGAGGACAGGGATGAGCCGCACGTGTTGAGTGCCTGATGGAATTTCATTCAGCCTTGGAGCACGGCCGGGCCACGGGATGGAGCAGGTAAAAGTCTTCCTGTCCCTGAGCTTTCTCCTGCCACCCTCTGCTCCATCGGGAGCTGTCCAAACAGCACGAGCCCCATTCCCATCCCAGCCCAAACCCTTGCCTGACGTCACAGAGCCTGAGCCGGGCCGGGGCGAGCTGAGGGAACAGTGGATCACGGCTGAACCAGGCCAGGCTCCCTGCTTGTTTAGCTGGCATTAACCTCAGATTTAAACTAATTAATCCAATACCAGGAGAATCCAGCCTGTGTCACCATTCCCTGGCTCTGAGCCTCCATTCAAGCAGGGGCTGAGTCTGCAAATACCCCTCCTTGCCRTAATTCCCTGATTTCTACTCCCAGAGGCTGGCAGCCTGTTTCAGCTGTTCTTTGGACCCGGAATATCTGCTTTTTTCCATGTAGTTCATGGTGTTTTGGGATGCCCAGCCACTTGCTCCTTCCTCACTGTGTCCCACAAGTCTCCGTGTCCTGCCTGTCTGACTGCCATGGGGAATGTTTACATTGCAAAGTTCAGCTCTTTTCCCATTTGGCTGTGATATTTACTTTTTTTTGGGATGTGTTCTTAGAATTCGGGTCTAGTTAGGTTTGRGWGGGACCTCAAAGCCCATCCTATTCCACCCCCTGCCATGGCCAGGGACACCTTCCACTGTCCYGGGCTGCTCCAAGCCCCARTGTCCAACMTGCCAGGGWTCCAGGGGCAGCCACAGCTTCCCTGGGCASCCTGTGCCAGGGCCTSCCCACCCTCACAGGAAAGGATTTCTTCCCRTATCCCATCAATCCTTGCTCTCTGTCCATCTGAAGCCCTTATTCATTGCTCTCTGTCCGCCCCAGCAGCATTCCAGCCATCAGTCCCCMGATAAGCGATGCTGGGCAGTGCTGGCAGCCACTCAGTGCAGGACCAAGTGGGCGAAGCATCCTCCTGCTCATCCCTGCAGCCCTGCATGGTCCAGAGCATCCCTCCTCGGTGTGGTCAGCTCAGAGCTTGTTCTGAGTCCCCTTGATCCCTCTGGGACAGCAGCTCCAGCCTGTTGGTCAGCTCTGTCCAGTTGCATTAGGGGCTGACCAGGTTGTTTCCTTCCTGAGCATTGCCCTGGGTTATCCCAGCCTGGGAAGAGCAGGAGCAGCAGGGAAAGCAGCACCCCTGCCCTGGGTGGCCTTTCCAAGAGCAGTGCTGGAYCTAGGGTGGCCCAGGGCATTCAGGGATAGCTCCTGGAGTGCTTTGGGCTGGGGTCTGCAGGGATGATGTGGGTGAGAGATGAGGATCTGCCCTAGCAGGAGAGGCAGAGGGCATTGGGTTCATCCTGCAATGATGCCAAGGGCCAGTGCAGGCAAGCTGGGGGGATGCGGGATGCTCTTAACTTCCCCCTGGCCACGTGTTTCCAGCTTCTGCTATTTCAGGGCTTCCTGTTTCCCTGAACAAAGTGGCTTCCTAGCAGGCTGGGCCAAACCTGGGGCTGTCCCTGCTTTAATGGAATGGGACTGGGCTCCACATCCAGCCAGGGGGACTTGTTCTTCCTTCTGGTGGTGCTCCTGAGCGTGGAAAACAATGGGCAGGAAACTGGGGATGGCGTCTGTGTTCCTCCCCTAYGGAGCAGCCCGGTCTTGGGACAAAAAGAGGGGACCTTTTCTCTCCTTGCAGTTCCCTGGGGGGAGCATGGAGCCAGGTGGGGATTACTTCTGCCAGGTAACAACTGCCAGGACAAGAGGAAATGCCTCMAATTGTGACAGGGGAAGTTCAGGCTGGATATTGGGAAAATTCCTTCATGGAAAGGGTGCTCCAGCCCTGGCAGCTGTGGGGTGCCCATTCYTGGAGGGATTTWACAGCCGTATGGATGTGGCACTTGGGGACGTGAGACAGTGGTGGCCTCGGCAGGGCTTTTCCAACCCCTCAAAATTCCATGATTTTGTGATCACTCCAGGGCTCCGTGCTCCTCTGGGCCGTCTCCCAGCAGGGTCCGGCCACGCTTCCAGACCCGGAGGACGGCCGGCGCTGGACTCCGCTCCTGCCCGGGGCGCTGCTGCCCTCTAGTGATCCCCGCTGCTGGCGCTGGGGACACTGGAGGCACTGGCAACACTGGGGTTCTAGCCCGGGCTTCTGGGGTACTGGGGACACTGGTGGCACGGGGCCAACGGTGGCGCTGGGAGTACTGGGGACATTGGTGGCACAGGGTGGGCTCTGGTGGTGGGGCTGCGGGGCGGGGTTGGCTTCTACCGGGGCCGTCACTGCTGCTGATGAGGATGCACGTCCCTGGATTGTCCCTAAAATCTCCTGCCGCTCGTTCCTCCGTGCCAGCGCTTGGTCCGAGCAGAAGGGAAACTGAGGCACGGTGACCTTCTCCCGGCGCTCCTRGCAACTCCAGCTCCGGTGTTCCCGGGCTGGGACGAGGATGGAGCGAGAATTCGAGAGGCAGGCACCGGTGGGTGTAGCCAGGGCGGGGGGCTGGGCTGGGGSAGCCGGGTTAGGAGGGGTCCGGGGCCGCCGGTTCTGCTGGAGACCGGCCCGCCTGAGGAACGGGGCATGGAGCCCTTCCGGGACAGGACACGGGGAAATCAGTGATGGGGAAGGGTCAGCGATGGGGGGTCAGCAAGGGGGGAGCATCGGTGGGATCGCTTCTGGGGACACCAGAGGTGGGGGGCAGGGATAGGAGGTCAGTAGCAGTGTGGGCGGTCAGTGATGGGGGTCAGTGATGGTGATCAGTGATGGGGGGTCAGCAGCAGTGTGGGGGGTCAGTGATGGGGGGTTAGGGATGGTGTTCAGTGATGGGGGGTCAGTGACGGGGGCTCAACAGCAGTGTGGGGGGTCAGTGACGGGGGGCCCGACGTTGGGTGCCAGCGATGGGAGGGAGCGGATAGGGCAGGACAGAGCTGCCGCGATCCCCCGACCTCTCTACCTCGGCCTCGGCCCCTCCGGTCCGGTCGGGTCCGGCTCCCGGGGCCGCTCTCCCTCCCCTCGTCCCCACCCCACAAAACAAGGCACTGCCGCTTTACCAGCCCGGTGCCCTGACCCAAGATGGCGGCGGCAGGGTCCGCCCGTCCTCCAACTGCGCCTGCGGGGGGCGGGGCCCCGGCGGGTCACGTGCACAGATCGCCCCGCCCCTTCCGGCCGCCCGCCCCGCCGGAGGAGCCGCCGGAGGGGCCGCGGGCGCCAGGCCCGGGACGGGCCAGGCCGGAGAGAGCGGGGCCGCAGGTACGGGGAGAGGCCGTGGGCCGGGACAGGGCTGCAGTGAGCTCTGAGGGCGGCAGCGCGGTCTCTCTGCGTCCCGGTGTGTGCGGCCGTGCCCTGAGCCACGGTAGGGAGAAGCGCAGCCGCCTCAGCAGGAGTTTTGGCRGAAGGCGGTGTTGGAAGCTCAGGGGAACGGCGGAATTGGGGGGTTGTGGATCCCCGCGTCGGGCAGGGCCGTGCTGTGACTGACAGGTGTCAGTGGCTTCCAACTGCCAGAGGGCAGGGTTAGGTGGGGTATTGGGRAGGAATTGTTCCCTATGAGGGTGGTGAAGGCCTGCCATAGGTTGYCYAGAGAAGCTGTGGCTGCCCCTGGATCCCTGGAAGTGTCCCAGGCCAGGCTGGACGGGTCTTGGRGCTCCCTGGGATAGCGGAAGGTGTCTCTGCCCGTGGCGGGGGGTGGAAGAGAATGGGTTTTAAGGTCCCTTCCAACCCAAACTCTTGTGTGACTCCGTGAGTCTTTAGTGTGGAGTGCCAGCAGCCCCCCTGCCCCAGGTGCAGGGCTGACCCTGCTCCACAGTATAGCCTGGAAAGAGCCCTGTGTCCTGGCTGGGCTTCCTTGCTTGGGACCCTCTTCTTCCAGCAGTTCCAGAAAGTGCCAGAGTGGAGGCAGGAGCAGCTGATTTTTGGGAGAAGGTACTGCTACAGCTTGTTGGATGGATAAATGCCCCTCTGGAATGGTCACTGACCTCTTCGTGGGGAAATGCTGGTGCTGGGGGTGGAGAATGGGATGGAGCTCCCGTTCAGGGAGCTGTACAGGGACGGGATTCTGTCTTGTCTGTCCCTGCTGCAGTGCATGGGGCAGAGCTGGTTCCTGTTTGGGTCTGTGTGGGTTCTTAAGGAAAACTCCCCTCTGAATGAACATCCAGGAATAGACAGGGTGAKAAATAGAGCAGCTGGAATTTGGGAATCCTGTGACCCAATGTGTTCCCAGCTGCTGAATGCTGTGAGCTTTGCCTTGTCCAGGCTTTAAAGCTGTTCCTAATCTTGGAGCTTGTTCCTCAGGTTTTTGCAGCCAGAATGAAATGAATGATTCAGGTTTTTACAACTGTTTAGAGCAGGTGTTTGTGGAATGCACAGTTTGGAATTTTCCRGGTGTTGGTCGTTCTGTTCCAGGCTCAGAGGTTTGTGGGACGGGACTGGGAGCACCCAGGAGGTCGTGGGGACGTGGCTGGCAGACACTGCTGTTCCTCTGACTCCCTTTGTTCCCACAATGACTCAAAAGAGGATTGTTTTTGTTTTCAAGTGCTGCATGAATGGTGCTTGTGTAGAATAGAGAATTGTTTTAAATCCTTTGGGATGCAGCAGCCAGATCATCTGGCTGTGCTGAGCTGCCCCCTTGGGAATGGCCCCCACCCTCTGGCACAGGGCAGGGAATGGGCTGTGCTGTGTGACCTCACTCGGCTGCACCAAAGTTCCTTTTGGGATATGAATTACCCAGGATTTTGTGGCATTGTCAGTGAAAGTTATTCTCCAGGAGTTGAAGTGGTTTGGGAGCAGCTCCCAGGCAAAAGTGGGCTGTTTACTGGAGCTGTGCTGTACATGCCCCTTGTGCCTTACTCTGCACAGCTTGGAAATCTCCTTTGGTTTCTGAGTGGACTCATGATCTTCAGCTGCCCGAGCACTCAGAGGTTGGAAAATCACTGTGGGCCCTAAAATTCCAAAGCTTATTCCTCTGTGTTTTTTATAGCAGGTTTGTGGGAAGTTGTGCCAGAGGTGCTTTTCCTTTTCCGTGTCCCTCTCTGTACAGCTGTGCTGCTACTCCCTSGTGCTCTCTGCTGCTAGGACCTCTTGGCAACTCCTTTGTCTTTCAGAATGGGGTAATGCTGCAGGGAAAGAACTGCTTTCCACCTAAACACTTTCCTGGGTCCTTCTCCAGCATTATTTGTTCCATCCCATTTGGCCCGGATTGTTTTTTATTAAAAAAAACAAAAACTAAGAAGCCACAAAGCTGGCAATTGAGTAAGAAATGGGTCTGTAGTGTGGATATTTCAGGAAGTCTCTGTCAGAGATACAGGATTCCTTTGGCTTCAGCTGCCTTGGCAGGGCAGGAGGTGGTTGTGCAATGACCAAGGTGCCAGGGCCGCTTGCAATTAGCTGAGGTTAAAGAGCTGCTCAGCATGAACAACTGGTTTGATGGGAGGGATCCTGGGATGAGCCCTTGGATTGGCAGCTGTTGGCACCTGAGCTGAGGAATGGATCAGCAGAGTGGCTCCAAAAATTGGGGAGGCCTCGGTGCAGGGGGCAACGGTGCTGGCATGGGCCAGTGCTGGGTGGCTTCATGCCTGGCATGCCTGGAATTATCTCCCGAGCTTGTSCTGCTGCTTCTGCTGGTTATGATGGGGAGATGGTTTCAGTGCAGGGTGATGCACACAAATTCCCTTTATTCACCTGGGAATAGCTTTTTTAAGGATGCATCTGTGCAGTTGGTGGTGGCCCTGCAGATAGAGGGGCTGCAGCTACTTGGCTCTCAAGGATCACCTGCTTCTTCTGTTCCTTTGCCTTGCATCCACCTTCATCCCTCATTCCACAGATTCTTTTCCTCTGCCACAGTCCCTCGTTTTCTTCTTCCATCCCATGTTGTCGAAAGTGGCACTRGCTGTGTCTTCAGCTGGGTAAAGGAAGGCAACCTATTGAGGGAAGGTAACCAGTCCCCCAAAATTCCTCACCTGGAGCATGGTCACACAGAGTACATCATGCAGAGTCCCATGTCCTTTGGGTGTTCTGGGAGTTGGCCAGGATGTCTGCAGCTGCAGGCTGCCTGGACAGGTGAGGGCTGGCACTGACTGACCTTGCCATGCTCTGGTCATGGACTCATCCAGCAAGTTTGTCCAGGAGTTGGAATTCAGGTCTGAGTGCAGAGGTGACAGYATGGGTTTGAGTAGTTGTGTGCATCACACTTTTAATTATTTCCTCTGGGATAACAACCTACTCCTGGTGTGCAGCACAGCCTCGAGTGCAAATGTTTCTAAGGGACTGCGAGCCCTGGTTTTATAGATCATGGAATCGTTTGGGTGGGAAGGGACCTTAAAGCCTGTCCAGTTCCACCACCTGCCATGAGCAGGGACATCTCCACTGTCCCAGGCTGCTCCCAGCCCCAGTGTCCAGCCTGGCCTTGGGCACTGCCAGGGATCCAGGGGCAGCCACAGCTTCTCTGGGCACCCTGTGCCAGGTTCCCCATTCTCATAGGGAACAATTCCTTCCATCTATCCCATTTATCCYGGCCCTCTGGCAGTTTAAAGCCATCATTCCTTGCTCCCCATGGATGAATACGTGTTTTATTTGGAACAAAGATSCTACATGTGTACCTGGAATTCAGGGGAAGGAGCAAGGGCAGCCGAGCACTTTGGTGCCATTTTGGGATGAGTTATTTCCATCATATCCCTAATTTTCTCCTTAATAGTCCCTTTTCCTTTTCATGGCTTTTCCTCCAGAATATTTGGACCCAGAAATGTCCCAGTTTGCTGTGGAAGGTGAGGTTGGAATGTGTGTCCTGGTTTGGGAGGAGGTTGGAACCATCCCTGGAAATTCAATGGGTCTGGAGAGCAGCTTCAGTGTTGTGCTAGCCCTGTGGTGTTGTGCCAGCCTGTTCTGCCTCAGTTGATGAGGTTCAGGGCTRTGATCCAGCACTTCCAAAGGGTTGGCTTTATTCCTCCCTTTTTCAGGAACTTCAGTAACTTGTTTGTTACTTAACCATCAGCAAGGAAGGAGAGTTTATAGTTCAGGTCAAGGAGGTGCCTGTGAGCAGAATGAGATCCAATGGTTTGACAAAAATATACAAAATCATCTCCATTTCGTGTGCTGAGCCACTGGGATGGATATTGTGGAGAGAGAGGGCTTGGAAAGGTACCTGGTGTGCTTAGCTCTTGCCATGTGCCGGCTGTAATTCCCACTGCAGTTGGCAGCAATTCCAGGTCATTCTCGTGGCTTTCCAGAGGCTCAGCAGCAGCCCTGGCCTGGGCTCTGACTCTCCTCCCCTGCCCCTTTCCCTCACCTCAGGAAGGCTTTTCCAGGCTGTTCTCTCCGAGGATTTTGTGCGAGTTGGGTGTTTTATGTTCTTTGTGCCCAAAAATCCACTGTTAAACCTTTTGTAGCCAGTATTTCAGTATTTTTGAGATTTTCTACCTTGCTGAATAGGAGACAGAGCTGCATCTCTCCAGACTGAGTCCATGTGGTTCTGTTTGGATTTTGGGGTGTGCTTTAGTGTCTCCTAAAAACAACACCAAAAGGAAGGTGTTCTGCTGGAAGAGATCCAGTTCTGGGTGTTCACAAAGCATGGAATGGCAGGTTTCCAGCTGGGACTTGGTGCAAGCATGACACTAAACTGGACTATAAAATACAGTTGGAAATACCTGTTAGAGTCCTGGTTTTGTAGCCATRATAGTCCTTAAAGCAATAAAGGGAGAAAGGAAAGGACTGGGAAAGAAGAGAYGGTGTTTGAGGTGAGATGATATTTTATCAATGGTTATTTGGCTTTTTTTTGACCTGGCACAATTTTGGGCATCAGCTTTCTCTGTTAGATCTGTATCAGCAGATCCTTTTTTCTTTTTGAATTCTAGAAAAGTAACTAAATGTAGCCAATACAGGACRAATAGCATAGGTATAAGGTGTGTAATCCAAACATGAAGATCCTCTGATGGTGAATGGACAGTTTGTGACTCCAGGAGGGATGTTTATAAAAAAGTGGAAATGGACTTACAAAATACTAAAAAACAAACACACGAACCAGTAACTTACTTATTTATTAACTCATTTGTTGCACAGAGAAGCTGTGGCTGTCCCATCCCAGGAAGTGTCCAAGGTTGGACAGGGCTTGGAGCAACCTGYGATGGTGGAAAGTGTTCCTGCCCATGGCAGGGAGATGAATTTTCAGGTTGCTTCCCACCCCAGTCATTCTGGAATTCCGTGCTTCTAGGTATTAACATTGTCTCGTCTGCATCCAGGCCATTTTCCCGTTGCTTTTTTGA